CTTGTTGAGGACTGCCTGTCTTCAGACTCTGTTCTACATAATCCTCAACATCCTCCAGAAGACTCAAACTTGTTTCTGCTGATTTCGTTTGCTCTGACAGCACCTTTAGTTTAGCATCAGTGACCCTCTTTGCCTGCTCAGTCAGTTTCCTCTCTGACTCATGAAGAACATTCATCATTTCCTCTACCATTTCATTTATTTCTTCTAAGACTCCTTCTCCTCTCTCTCTGATCTCACCCTCTCTCTCTGCTAGAGCAGACAGGACCTTCTTCAGTCCTCCAATTTTCCCTTTTATCGGATTAAGAGATTTCTCCAGTGCTTCTTTGTGTTTAGTAAAACTATCAGCTATTAGGTTATACTTGTGATCTTTATGAGTGACTATGATACAATCACGACATATAACACTATCACATGTTTCACAGTAGATCTTTAAAGGCTCGTCATGACTTGGTATGGGACAAATGAGAGGTGCCTCCTGTTTAGCTGAAGCTAGCAATTGAGAAGTAGAAGAGACATCAGAGGCTGTCACCTCATCAAGACTTGTCACCTGATGGTTAGCAAAAAGAGCCCATTTCTTGTGGGTAGAGATACATTCTGTACAAAGGAATTGACTGCAGTCTTTGCAGTATCCAGTGGCATTAGCTGTAGTACAGTTGTCACAGGTGACCTGTTGAGGATCAGCTACTTTCTTCATTAGACTGTATATCTCTTTGAAGTTGTTGAGAGTGAATGCTACAGGAAAGGCTCCTGTTCCTTCTTCTGGCAACTCTGTACAATGACGACAAGTGGGACAAGAGAGGTAATAGGTCTCATTCTTCTTTTCCAGAGGTAATCCCTCCAGACAGTGCTCACAGAATGAATGTAGACAAGGTAAAGTCTTAGGGTTGGTATAGTGGTCAAGACACACAGGACAGGTGAGCTGTTCCTCCAGTTTGAGGAGACCAGGAGAAGATGGTTTGGTTGCCATTTCAAGAAAAGAATAAAATTGTGTATGTAAAGCAAGAACAAAAAATGAAGAGAGATAAAGGTAGAAGATGGTAAATGAAGATAGAGTAAGAAGAAAATGAAGAAATCAAAATGAATGAGAATGAAAACAAGTGTTCAAAAGAAGGGAATGCAGCTAAAGAAGATCAACTAGACACAAAAAGTGGGCGATACCTTAAATATATTCAAAGATCTTGTGACTAAAGGAAGTTATGATAGTACATAATAAATACTGGCTTTACCATAGCAACCAGTGACTTCTTAATTTCAAGAATAATTTATTGAATACAGATAAAAGTATAAGATGATAAATGAACAAAAAACAAAATTATTGGGGCAAACCAGGGAATACAGTAATATTTGGACTCGCCACACTTGTGTAGGCGGGTACTATGCAGTTGGGTTGTCATTCTGTCACGAAAATTCCTGTTAATTCCTAGTTAATATCTTTTTTACTGAGCTCTCCTGAGTTATAATTTTTTTTAAGCTTTCAGAAAAAGATAATTTATTTAGCTCCGTTGTATTTTCATAGCAATCTGTGGTAGCAAAAGCTGAATATTTTCAAGAATAGACCACTTTTCCTAGCCAAATCTTCGTGTTTCACTCTATTTGGTCAATATTAGCATTGATAGGTAGAGAAAAGTACCTAGATTAAAAAATATGTGGGAATTTTCTAATCTCTTTTTTGTTTGCGAGTTACAGTTGCTCAAAGTTTGTGATTTAGCCTCTTCGAAAAATTTTCAGGCAGCACTGGAAAAAGCAGGAGCAACCAAACTATCTCAGTCTCTTTTAAATATCTAGGCAAATTTTTTGTGCTTGCTCTTTCTTTGAATAGAGCTTCAGATGCTAAAATAAATTTCAGCTTTTCTTCTTTCTCCTACCCATGTGCCATGTTTATCTGCACTGCACTGCTAAGTGCTGACCACACCTATAATTTATTTTATGGATCAGTGCAGTAATTGCATTGTTACAGTTTGCTCAAAATCTATTATCCTTTATTCAAATATCAAGTTGCTTATACATGTATATATAATATCATGATGGGGGCAGTACAAGTAACACATTATCCCTCAGGTGAATCTCAGCAGGCGAGTCCACGCACCATGGTGCTTCATAAGATCATGCACATATTATAGAACATGTACATGTACATGTATGTTACAGAAATGATGCATAATAATGTGAATTTTGCAGCATTTATATTATATTATTATATTATTTATATTATATTATAAATGCTGTACTGTACATGTACAATACTAACCTCCCCTAATATTCTAAATAAAGAGCTCTTGCCACACCCATTAGGACCACACACTAATACATTCATACCAGAATGAACCTTAAGAGGGAGGGGAAGGGAGAGAGGGAGGGGGAGAGAGGGAGAGAGAGAGAGAGAGAGAGAGAGAAGGGGGGAGGGGAGGAGAGAAAGGGAGAGAGAGGGGGGAGGGGTATGGTATCAGTATATTGACTGTGATTAGGTTATTGAAGTACTTCAAAGTTCATGTCTCTGACAAGTACATCTCCATTAGGAGTAACCAATGGGACATGTTCAAACCTTGAGAGAGAGAAGAATTAAATAATAATAACAATAATAATTAATTACTTTATTAAATTGTCAACTTCAATTATTTCTCCGCTACCAGGAACAAGTGGAGGACCTTCAATACCTTAAAATAAAATAAAATAAAATAAAATAAGTGTAACCATTTTTTGAATGGGTAAAAATTGCTCAAATTTCCTAATGATTAATGAGTTTTAATTTGGCAAATATAATGTAGCAATGTCAAATTAAGCATGTGCATAATGATTCAAAATGGTGGCACGGGTCAACTTCACCAAAATTGTATTAACTGTGCTACAACTATATGTACATGTACTGTATATGTAATGTACATGTACATGTATTACTAATACATCATATCTCACTAGTGTTTTCTCTGTTCTCCATTGTCTCTCCATTGGTTCCATTACCACTGTCACTAGTATTGACCATTGTCCTAACGTACTGTCCTTTATGGAGGTCACGGAGTACGGTGGTCAACTGGTGAATGCGAGCGGTGAAACCGGACAGACGGGCCATGTCCCGCCCGGCCAGCACCAATCGACCGATAGCCTCAGACATTCGGACCAACATACGACCACTTCTGTAATAATCCTAGGGAGAAGACATGTATGTACATGTACATGTACAAGATAAGCATTAATTGATAGATCTACATGTACATGTATATTTGGGAGACTAGAATCTAACTGAAAATGGGAAATTTAAAGGGTAAGTCCGGTGTATTTTTGGTGAATTTTTTTTATTGGCTTAATATGATTGCCTGACCATAATAATGATGTATTCCAACTCCCATTGTCTAAAAAAATTTTTTCACTGAGATATGAGCCTTCAAAAATGCTCATTTTTTGTTATACTATGTCCCAACTGAGAATCAGAATGGACCGGAAGTGGAAGCAGCTGCATTGGAATTTTAAAAATGTAGCTACGTCACTAATGATGTTTTATAATGATATTCATAGAGACATGGCCGATATTTCGGCTGTGTTATTTCACTCCTAAAACAGTCTTGTTCTTCCTGATAAGCAGTACAATAGCTGCTGGAGTCAACTAGTCTTCATAAAGGCCATCATTATCAGAAGATCTTGCTCTATTAGCATTTTAAAAGAAGAATTATCAGTTTGGGCGCTCGACCACATGTGCTTATGTAAACTATGACATCATAGAACGTCATTGCGGTTAGCTTTGGTATGCCATTGGGTTTATAGGGAGAACCCGGTTCTCAGGGTTCCCAAGGGTTGAGAGACCCAAGACCTGAGATCCTGAAGCGGCATTGGGCGACTAAGAACCTGTGAAAGTCTCATCCTTATCCCACATTCCTATAAAAATTTATTCCAGTTTTTCTTGGTCCAAACTCAGTTGGGACATAGT